TTTTCACACATTTGCTTCCATTTTTTTTATAGAGTTTATGTACATGCTTGTTTTCTCTATCAAGATCTAAATCATTCAATACAATAAATATGTGCACCATGCCAACTTTGTAATATCCTAAGATGTGTCAGTTTCAAGAATAAAGAAACCAACAATTCTTTAAATATAGCTTTCCCTCATCAATCAACCTGAATTCTTGAAGTGCACAAAGCTACATGCTGAAGTTAAAGACTGACCTACTTTACTGATGCACATAAACACCAGGAGAAAATAGTTTGTTTTGATGTTCAGCAGTGGTTAGCCAGGATGCTATTGTCAGGAACAGGTGTAAACGATACCTTCTACTGCTGCCATGTTATAAGAAGACCCTAGACTCCACCCTCAAGTCTCTGTAAACAGTCCAGATATAACACTGAAGTGGAGCCAAGCTCTTACACTTCAGAGATTTTCTTCATATCAACATCATTTAATTGGAAAATTAAAAGTAGATCCCCCCTTTAAAAATATGCATCCTGGTTTAAATTAATTTCTCAGAAGATTTTATTCATGCAAAGCCATAATTTGATGTTTTATTAAAGTAATGATGATGTATAGCTGTGATGAAATTAGTATTTTCCCATTTATCAACTGTACTTAGTAAACTGTTCTTTATCTTTCATCATGATACAACCAACCATCAAGCATTCCATCCTTATCAAAATGTTCAAAAAATGTCGGTATGTTTCTTAATGAAAACGTCAAACATTTATGAATAGCGTAAAATCAGATAAAAATAGCCAATCTCACAGCTTCTTGCTAAACAAGTCTTAGACAGTTCCAAGCCGTGATCCAATCCTGAAGGTCAGAGAGTAATATTACCAGAGTATTTGTGTGGACAGGCGTGCCCACATGTGTGTTATCTCATACGATATCTCCCGGCAAGGTAGAACCTGTACAGGTAGACCCTCAGCTGGAGCAGCCTACGTAACTAAAGGTTCTTTTCTTGGCACAGGCTTCGATCATTCCAGCTCTGACTTCCCCTGTTTTTTTGTTGGCGTGTAGGTGAAATTCCTTCTGGGTTGCTCCTCTCAGTCTGGTAGCTGTAGATCGGAGTAGACATTTGGTCTTTAATTCTCTCATTTCACATTTTGGCGTAGATTTTCATCATGATTTTTTCTCGTGGATCCAGTGAAAGAAACTGACTTGTGAGACACAACTTGGGTCTTGTTTCCATTTGAAGGGCACTTTGGATATTGGGATTAAGTTTGCTGTGGAGTTTAAGTTTTCGGATTTCTACCTGTTCCTTGTTGGATATTTGTGTTTTCATCATTACAACTCCCGATTATTTGCTTTTCCATATTGGAGTGGACTGTGTGCTGTGGGTTCATCTCTGTTTGAAGAGATTGTGTGGAGCTGTAGCTTATATGGTTTGTTGAGTCACAAAGTTTTTCGAATTGTGACTCTAATTCTTCATTGTGGATAAAAGTGAATACCTCTGTAAGGGTTGTGGTTTTGAAAATCAGTGAATATTCGTTGTGGAGTTATGAACCAGGAATAGAAATATTTTGAGTGTGATCATTTTGTTTGTGGTGCTGAATCTACCAACCAGCAATCATGAGTTTGATGTTTCTTTTGCCCAATCATAAGTGCCCTTCAAAAGACTGTCCATTCCATGCATCAGAGCTGTCATCCAAAAAGAAACTGTTTGAGGCCCCTACTGAGGAAATACAGCTAGCAGGGGCTACTGGCGCTGGAATTGAAGAGGGTGGCAAATTGAGAAAAGGTCCAAAAAAAGAAAATTCGAACGGCGTGGAAGACAGCGGACGTTGAAGCCGAAGAAGAGAGAAGAGGAAGCATGACAGGAAGCGTGACTGAAGACGATGTTGTGACGGTGTTGTCTGTTGACACGGGCCACGAGTCGGGGTCAAGTGAGTGTGAAGCCAGGTTTACACTTGGGTCAGTGACGAGTGACAAGGTGGACGTTGAAGACGTAGAAACTGAATTTTGTGCCGACACTGGGATTGACTCCCTGGCTAGTGATGATGTACACCTGGATCAGGAAGAAATCGCAGACATCACTCTTACAACACTGGAGAAAATTGAAGAAATGGAAGTGCCACTTGATGAACAAGATGTTGAGGAGTTTGATGTGGATGATATCAAAGAGGAAATAGTTTTTGCGCAGGAACCTGAAGTTCCTCTTGTGAGTACTGCCACAGAACAGGAACTTGTCCTGAAATCAGAGGAACAGATTGTTGAAAGTGCTGTGGCCGTTAGTGTTGTGAGAGAGGTTTGTGAGGAAATAAAAGTAGAGAAACATGTGATTGAGAAGCAACAAATATATACAACAAACATTCAGGAGGAGGTAATCCAGTCAGAGACTCTGACAGAGACACATGTAGCAGTGGAAAGGTGTGTGTTGTTAGCTCTCAAGTGTAATTCAACCTTGGATAGAACAAAGTGAATGTAGTGAAAATCAGGTTTGAGTAGCCCCTTGTATTCATCAAGAAATGGTAATATGCTGCTAATCCTGTAAATAATTGAAATGGTTCTAAACATATAACCTCTCTGGTTGTTGATGTAGGCCATTGATACTCAGTAATCAAATGATGATGATGATGATGATGATGATGATGATGAAATATGATGAAATATGATCATGACAGATATTGAAATATGATGATGATGAAATAGATATTCAAATATGATGATGACCACATAGATACTGAAATATGATGATGATGATGAAAATGATGGTAGTAGTGATTATGATGGTAGTGGTGATTATGATGATGATGGTGATGATGATGACAATGACATAGATGCATGGTTATGGTCAAAGTACATGATATATTACCATGGTGTCAGAGTGGTTCTCGTTTCCCTGGCAAGTATGCAAAATCTATTTTTCTATAAACATGACATCCAAGTTAAAGTGAAAGGTTATGTCAGTATAAATGACATGATTCGTAAGCCAAAGGCACCATAACACCTGGTAATGACCTTCATCTTGCCTCAATGTTGTTAGTTTTGTGCAGTCTTCTGGTAATAGAAACAAAAGCTGAAGGTGTACAGATATACAAGTCAACTGCATTCAGGAAGGAATATGACACCTAATTCTTGTAGTAATTCTTTTGTTATGTTGGAGGAACACATAGCTTTCGAACATAAAGATGTGTATCAGCTGAGATTTTCTTTTGACCACGGTCATAAACATGTTTCCATGGAAACCTATGTCAGAACAGCATGGTATTCCAATTCAAATGGGAAATAGAAAGACCATGTCGGATCACTTTGGCATGTTGCTCAATAAGTTCTGAATCGGTTCCAAGTTTTATACCAACAACCTGCTCAAGTACTCCAAGTGTTGCTAAGTGATTTTATATATACTGCAGGATATTTTTATGTACTTGCTATAAACTGACAGGCTGGAGTTGTTTTAATCTCATCATTATCCAATAATTCCTCTACCACAAAATTTGCTGAGTGAAGGTTTATGAAAAACGTTACGGAAGTTGTTAAGAGACTGATATCAAGATTAGATGTTCCGCTGGGCTTGCAGGGCAGATATTAGCATTAATGTTGGCTGTATTTGCCATTATGATCTGAATAAAAAAGCACTTGCAACAACTTGATAAATTGCCAGACGTCTGGAAGGCTGCCTACTAGATTTATCTGCAGGAAAAGTAACGCCTTAACATGATTATTTTCTCATCTTCCTAATCAAATGGTGATCACTGTAAATGAAACAAACATGTCTACCTTAGAAATTGTTTTACTTTAATTTTATGGAAGTGTAATATTTTTAACAGTTTGATGGTAATAGTAATTCATGGTTGCCTCTGGTATAGCAAGGGTGTGTCTCAAACATATTGGATATTCAATGCAATTTGTTGAGGGCTGATCAAATTGTTTATTCCATTTGGCTATTTGACATCTTCTTGTGCCAAGGTGCATTAGTAATGGCTGGGGGGGCGGTGGGGTAGCCCAGTGGTTAAAGCGTTGGCTCGTCACGCCGAAGACCCGGGTTCGAATCCCCACATGGGTACAATTTGTGAAGCCCATTTCTGGTGTCCCCCTGCCGTGATGTTGCTGGAATATTGCTAAAAGCGGCGTAAAACCAAATTCAGTCAGTCAGTCAGTAATGGCTGGGCTGAGTTAGTTATTGGGAAGTTTTTTGAAATTTTTGAAAGTTTATATGGAAGTCACAGCTGACGTGTTAGAAAAGATGACTGGGCTTTGATTCATTTGGTGAGTTCCAGCAAGTTCGGTTTATTATTTGCTGAGTCAAGTTTGACCAAGCATGTCAGTCTAGCAGATGAAATTAATCTAATTACACACAGACATTGTCTTATTGGGATTAATCACAGGTTTTTCTGTCAGTACTTACCTTTTCTTGTGGATATCAATATGGTTGTTAAAGTCTATGGCAATATTGTTTGTTGTTTTTTTGCATTTTGTTAAAATCATCAGGAAGTTATTCAGTATGTTGTCCCTGTTAGGCTGCCATATTGTTCAATGGAACACAGTGGTGTAGTTAGTAACACAATGCAAGCTGCCCCCTCAGGCTGATCTGATGGCGTGGTTGTAAGGTAGCTGTAAGGAACATAGCATTATGTTGTGGCTAACCTTCATCTGTTGGGTAACCTGTTGCAGATGCTGGGTTCCTATGGAGATTGGAGTATTACATGTGTGACTTTACAGGAGGAATGCATTTGATCTTGTGATCTGTATCTGTGGTGGCATCTTAAAGATGTAGGGTCAGAAGGATGTCCTTTTGTGTTTGAGAGGACTTTGGTACCAATCAGATAGTGTAATCTAACACAGGACATTGGCGTTAGACCGTCCAGACAAACGACCAATATTATTGATCATCTGAGACTGTTGTGGTGAAAACAGTGTAATGTTTAAAAAATTACCTGCAGAGAAACTTTGAGGATTACCCGTTACACCATTCTAAAGAGCTGCAAACTCGATGGTATATATTTTTTACAATTCTAATTTTCCATTTTCCCTTTCAGGTTGAAAGATGGCGAAGAAGTCATCCCAAGTCCACGTGCCAAAGCCACATACAAAGATGGCATGGCAACACTTGATCTCAAAGACCTTGAACCCGAAGATGGAGGAAAATATACCTGCCGTGCTACCAACAGCTTTGGAGACATTGAAACCACAGCCAATCTCAAAGTTGAAGGTCAGTTTGCTTCTAGTGTGAACAATGGTGCAGATGAATGGTGAATCTTCAGAGCATCAGTTGTTGTATTTCCATCTTTCAAATCTGTTTGTCCACTACTACAAATATACAGAACGATAATGTCTGAGTTCAATTTTCAATAATATTTGAAGAGAGGTGTGAACTGTTTTTAAGATATTTGTATGAAATACTTGCAGCTGATTAATGATGTGTCTTGTTGTTTTACAGAAGTGCGTCACCGGAGAAGAAAGAAGGCTGAAGAGGCCAAACTTAAGTGAGTTTTTCTGAATATATGAGCCAGTCAGTATACAGTATTCATCACTTCTTGTGACCTTCATTCCATTATTTTTGCAGTGTGTCAGGAAAAGCTGCAAGTGAAAGTAGTTCCTTGATAATGAGTAAATTGTAGGTGATATGTGCTATTTTCTGGAGGATACCAAGCAGTTCAACAGTAATAACATCTTCATTTCTTACCCCAGACAACCCAAGAAGGAAGTTCCAGAAATTGAGGCAGACATCCCACCAGAGTTCACACTGCCTCTGATCGACCAACTGGCACCAGTGGGAGACTCCATTGAGCTGACTGTCACAGGTATGTTTAGTAGATAACTCTTGATCCTGTTGTTGAAGGAGAGCATAAGTTTGTGTCGAGACCTTGAAGGTTTTCAGTGATAATTGGGCAAGATGTGAATATATTGTAACAGGTTTGTAAGCCTGGCACACAATGGGACTCTGATGGTGTGGTTGGCTTCTTCGGCTGTCAACCACAAACTGTCTGATCCCTACTTGACAAGTAATAGATTGTCATGATATGTCTTGTTATTTATAACTATGGTATATAACTGTATCTTTTCATCAACTGTTCTATGCCTCAATCTGCCACAAATGTACACTTTCAGGTTTTGTCTTGATTTAATGGACCCATAATCAAACTGTATCTCAGACTTTATGGCAGAAATTTATCCAACGCATCTGTGAAGTACTCAGCCACAGGATGGACTAGTCCTTCCGGGTACCCATTTTGCAGATGGTAGTGGCTGGTGGTGGCATCGTGTTTAGTAACAATTTTCAAATCATATATAGATATTCACAAACTTTCTGTCTGGTTGATAGAAACAAAATCAAGATAGATTCTTCATTGGTCTCATTTATCTTCACAGTTACATCCCGACCTGAAGCCGAGGTAGACTTCTATCATGGAGATGAGAAGGTGTCAGCTGGAGGCCGCTTCAAACTGAAACATGACAAGGATGTGTACAGCCTCATCATCAGCAATCTCACACTGGAGGATGCAGGAGAATGGAGCTGCCAAGCTGCAAATACTTTTGGCAAAACACAGTGCTCATGTGATGTCAAAGTACTGGGTGAGTCTTGTTTAAAGAAACCATGAAAATGAATGCGAAATAGGTTCTGAAACATGGAATTGATTTGTAGCAGAGCTGTTAATACTTCAGAAATCATACTTGACTTGATGCATTGCTTCTTTGGTCAGATATTACGTCATTCAGCCAGAGCTGGATATGCTGAATGCTTGCAGACCCAAACTAATATCACTGAACCAACAGTCATGAGTCAGTTAAAGATGCAGATTGTCTTTTCTATATCCTTGTGCTGATGATGTGAATTGTTGTTCTAATGAACCTGAATATCTGTTATTCTACTACAGACTCGGTGCCAGAAGGCTCCAAGAAGCCTTGGTTCACACAGGGTCTGGAGGCAATGACCATCACTGATGGCAGCAAAGCAGAGCTGAGATGTATCGTCACTGGACTGCCACAACCAGATATTGAATGGTAAGAAAACATGAGTCACTAGTCTGACCAAAAGTAAAAAATTAGATTTGATAGTTTTAAAAATGATTTATCGAACTTCATAGTGAGTGAGTGAGTTAATATTTAACGTCACATCAGCAATATTTCAGTTATATCGTGACAAGAACATATTTGAAATTGAATGGAAATTGTGTATATTATAAAAACCTGTCATCAAAGGACAGTAAAACAACTAGAATTTCACAATTAGAATTAAAACTAGTGTAGAAAGTTAAAACTAATAGCACAATTTGGACAATACAATATAAAAACAGGCTATAGATCGCCAACGACAGATGGTAGATCACCATACTAGGGACCATGTCGAACTTTATAGAGTCTTCAAAGAATATGTTCTGCACCCTCAGTGATGGCTATGGGCAGTGTTAGAAGGTTGTTACCAGACTTTTCACTCAGATTATATCCCTCCTTCCAGGTACAAGGACCGACAGAGGATCGAGGCAAGTCGCCACTACGAGATGATCCAGGAAGATGACAACACTCACATTCTGGTTATTGATGGCGCCACCAAAGACGACACGGGGTCATACATGTGTCGTGCTGTCAATGAAGCCGGATGTGCTTCTACAGAGGCCAGAATCCGTGTACAGAGTAAGTGTTTCTGCATTGCATTTTCCATTTAGTTTCCGTCACATGGATATCATGGAGTTCAGATGACATTGTTTGTTTGCAACCTGTGCATCCTGACACTCGGTTGTGTGTAGAAGGGCTTGTTAAGTTATCAATATCATCAAGGATTGAGCATTTTCTTGTTCATCTATACTACCCATCAAAAGGTTAGACTCACTAGTGTAAATGTAGCCACTTACATCAGTCAACTATTCTAAACTAGATTTTGCAAAATCTTCCATACTGTTTATTGGTACTGTTTTCACATGAACTCATGTATTGTAAAACAAATTTGTAACGTTGAAAAGATTATTGTCATGAGTTCAATAAATGATGAAACTCAGTGAATATTGCTAAATTCTTGACACAACATTACTCCAAAAACACAGCTGTTCACATGCATGATATTTGCATATGCTTTTCAGCAATTTGATGCATGATCCTCATGCAATTCATCTGCATAAGGTTTTCAGTTGGTTCCCCCAAGCTAGGGGAGAAATTCACCTTCGATGTAACCACATATTATGTGCATTACATATAGTGAGTGCTTTAAGTGAGTCTAAACTTTTGATGGTGATGGACAGTGAGTAGTCAGAATTGAATGCAGATGAGTTACGGAATTAACAGCAGAGTAACAGAATTCATGGCCGACAGGATGTGTTTCAGCAGGATAAACATCAGAGACAGGATTAATAAACAATTTATGTTTTCTGTACAGGAAGATGCTGATCCTGCTGCAAGTGATACACTAAATCGAGTCAAATATGAAGCATGGAAATGATTAAATATATCTTGTATTGCAGAAGTGTCTGATCAAGTTATCCAGAGAGAAGACACCACCAGAGTGACCGCAGCTCCGACCAAACAATACCGATTCCAGATGGCACCAGACTTCACTGTGAAGCTCCGGAACAAGTCTGTCCCGGAGAACAGCCATGTGAGACTGGCCTGCTCCGTCACTGGCATCCCTGACCCCACCATCAAGTGGTACAAGGATGGCCAGGACATCACCAACATGGCCAGATACACCATCTTGGTGAGTGACAGCTTGTCGTTTTATTAAATCCTGCACAGATATGGGGGCAGAATATCTTCTGGTTTTAGATTGGGTTATTTCTGGTTGCATTGATAATTTTGGCTGTAATATTACTGACTTTGGCATTCACTGATATCAAGTAGATGTATTATCTGTGGAAAACAACTCAGATTCCTCTGGCCTGATCCTGAAATATGGTAGCTTTCAGTGCCATATCTTGAAGGGAATCTATTAACTTTCCATCAAAATTGATACGGTATTGACTGTTAACTTGGGGACTGTTAACTTAGTTTGGGGAGTCTCTATGGACGGACTATATGTGCTCCTGGTGTTTACAGAACAACTACGGCCTGCTGTCTTTGGAGATCCTGAGGACGGCAACATCCGACAGCGGCTGCTACACCTGCGAAGCCTCCAACTGTGAAGGCACTGTCACCTGCAGCGCAAGTCTTGATGTGCAATGTATGTACACGACACTTTGTCATGTAATGATTTCATTGAAATGGTGTGATGTAAAAAATATGTTTCAAAGTAACTGTGCTGATGATATATTCGTTTCTTGTCATAGGCCTGGATCGGTTATCCCCTGAATTTGATGAGCGTCCCCGTTTCCTGAACCCCCTGGGTGACATCTGCATCAGGGAGGGACAGGATGCTGTGTTTGAGTGCACCGCCACTGGCAAACCATCACCCTCATTCAAATGGTAAGGCTCAGCAGTACAATATGATATGGAAACTGGTTGACCTGTTCATGCAGTAGGTTTAGAACTTTCAGTCAGTAAAATATGGTATAAAGCCATAGCATATATAGTTCACTCATTGTAGAATCATTCACATGAAGACGCTCCTGGAATGTTTGTTGGGACAAATATCAAGTTTTACATGGTTTCCTGCTGATTTAAAGTTGGGTTATTTGTTGTTCCACAATTCCAAGAACCAAAGAATACTATTTAATAGTCATCCCATAGTTAACACTGTATGTCTACGTGATTATCCGGATCTTCAGAAATCCATGCTTGTCGTCAGAGGCGTCTAACGGGATTGGGTGGTCAGACTCGCTGTCTTGGTTAACACATGTCATCGGTTCCCAATTGTGTAGATAGATGCTCATGCTGTTGATCACTGGATTGTCTGGTCCAGACTCGATTATTTACAGGCCACCGCCATTTAGCTGGAAAATTGCTGAGTGAGGCGTAAAACTAAACTCACTCACTCACCCACTACCACTGTATGTCTACTTGATGAAGTTGAGGAGGCCTCAACTAATTCATCCACAAATATTAACCAATAATATTACAAGGAAATGATAAAAGAGTGAAACTAATCTCATTTTCTATTTTATGAATGCTAGGCAAAAGGATGTGAGAGAAGTCTTCGGCAGCTCCAGAATCAGCATCGATTCAGACGAGGATGGCAAGGCTCGCCTTGTGGTGAAGAATGCCCGTCTCTCTGATTCAGGACTCTATGTATGTGTGGCCTACAGTCAGGCTGGCCGCTGCAAGTGCTCTGGGTCACTCAGAGTCATTGGTGAGTTCACAGTGCCATTCTACTACTTTGTATATAGATTTCCTGATTTGCTTTAAGGTTTCTTTGTCCCAAACCATCAAAATGTAGTTCCAAAAACATTTCAAGGAGAATCACTGAAATCTGTTGGTTCTAGTTCTAGACTTTGGGTCAGAGAGCTTCTGATTGTAATGGTTCCTCATTTTGCCTTCTTTCCAGAAAAATCTCCCTCACCACCATCGCAGGATGAGTTGATGCGTCTTGGCTACGGCCCTGATGTAGAGTTCAACCCCCTGCATCGTATCACAGAGCCTGGACGGCCACCCTACTTCTCCATCATGCTACCCAGACAGGTAGAAGTTGTGGAAGGTCAGAAACTCCGTCTTGACTGTGCCGTTGAGGGATTCCCCACACCAGTCGGTTAGTACATTGTTTCACATTATGCCTTGACCATTGGCATTTTAGATTGGAATGCATGACAAGTCATATGGCTGAAATATTGAGTCACGACGTTTTCGATACAGATTCTTGTACCGTTGTCAAGCAAGAGTGATACATGAAGTGTAGGAGCTGCATATATATACTGTATATAACAATGAAACAACATAATAGACAAAGGAAACAACATAATTGCCATGATTGGCTAAGCAGTAAGCTGATGAAGCCAGTAAGTACATAAAGGATAGTGAGTGGAAGCCAGAGATGTAGTTACAATGAGATGTTTATACAATGGATGATGTTTATACAATAGACTGGGCTTGGTGGAGGAGTGGATCATAAGCAGATGGAATGAAGTATCCTTGGTCACGGTTGATGGTAGGCTTGTGGCGTTTGATGTGAATGGCTTCTGTGAGCTAGCGTTTAGTGAAGTCCGTTTTGGTTGTTGGCGAGAATGGTGATGTCGGACCACTCTATTTGATGATTGGGGTTGGCTTTGATGTGGTCAGAGATAGCTGATTTGGTGTCGGAATTAGCAACAGAGGTGCGATGTTCTTTGACTCGGGTGTTGATGGGTGGGATGTTTCACCTATGTAGCATTGTCCACAATCACAGTCTATTTTGTAAATAACACATTTCGGGTTGTTGTTGTTGACGGTGGGTTGTTTTCTTCCGCTGGCATGGAGGAGGTTGTTGAGGCTAGAGGACGCTGAGAAGGTAGTGTCTATTCCTGCCTGTTGTTTCAGGAGTTGGCTGATTTGGTGTGATGGTTTACCAATGTAGGGAATGGATATCTTGATGGGGGCTGATTCTGGTTTTAGACCTTTTGGCAGGAGGTGAAAGCGCTTGCTTGATGGTTCTGTTGACTATTTCAGGTGGGTAGTGGTTGCGTTCCACAAAGACTTTCCTCAGGTGTTCAATTTCTTCCTGTAGGTTTGTTGAGCAGATGTTTTTGGCTCTTCTGGTCAATGTAGAGATGACGCCGGTCTTGACTTTAGGTGGGTGGTTGGAGTTGTAGTGGATGTATTGATCCGTATGAGTGGGTTTTCTGTACACGGAGGTCTGGAGTTGGTTGCAGGAGGTGCGGGACACAAGGACATCAAGGAAAGGTAGTTGGTTGTTCTGCTCTGTTTCAATGGTGAATTTGATGCGGGGATGTTGGCTGTTGAGATGGGCGAGGAGCTGCTTTGGATCTTGCTGAGGTTGGAGGATCTAATTTTAAGGTGTCATCCACTTTGGCGGTACCAGCAGGGACGGTTTGGTGACATTATGCCTTGACCATTGGATGATTGGAATGCATGACAAGTCATATGGCTGAAATATTGCGACTTTAAATATTACACATCATCCATGATGGTGTTTCCAATATTGATGGGGGCGGTGGAGTAGCTTAATGGTTAAAGTGTCCGCTTGTCATGCTGAAGACCCAGGTTTGAATCTCCTCATGGGAACAATCTGTGAAGCCCATTTCTTGTGTTCCCCATCGGGACGTTCCTGGAATATTGGTAAATGAGGCCTATAACCATACTCACTCATTCACTCACTCCAATATTGATTGCTGAAAACAGACATAGGAATGAGGTTTTATTTTGAGTCCTTTCCCAACAGTAACCTGGCACAAGAATGTCCGTGAACTGACATATGGCGAGCGGCACCGCATCATGATGTGCGCAACGCTGCACACGATGGAGATGGCATCTGTCATGACCATCGATTCCGGAGAATACATCGTCCGGGCAACAAACGTCTTTGGTTCCGTTGAAACATCCTGCCATGTCAAGGTTAATCTCAGAGATCCAGAAAGGTCAGTGTACTTTGTGTTTACAACTGAAGGGAATTGGATTCGATTTGGATGGGCAATTGGGAGATATGAAAGAAGTGAAATATTTTTAAATGATATTGACTTTTATCACCTGATATGGAGCAAGAAATTGTGTTTGTTTGTTTGCTTGCTTGCTACTATATGACAGCAGGCTACTGGATGTCAATACAAACAGGGGTGGTGGGGTAGCATAGTGGTTAAAGCATTTGCTTGTCATGCCGAAGGCCTGTGTTCACTTCCCCACATGGGCACAATGTGTGAAGCCCATTTCTGGTTTGCCCGGCCATGATATTGCTGGAATATTGCTGTAATATTGCTAAAAGCGGCTTAAAACAAAACTCATTCACTCAATACAAACAAAACAAAATTTGCTTTCCAGAAAATAAGTTTGTTCCTTGGATACTGCAGACTTAGTGTTAATGGATTTCAGAATCTTACATAGTAATGATGATAGAGCATTGTAGGCATTTTTTAGCTGTGCCAGAACCCATTGGTCCTTCGTTCAAATCCTATATTTGCCCCTAAAATGTTCTTTGATTTGTGGGGCGGTGGGGTAGCCTAGTGGTTAAAGTGTTGGCTCGTCACGCCGAAGACCCGCATTCGAATCCCCACATTGGGTTAGTTTCCAAAGGATGAATAACTTGATGTAATGAATGCTATAAATATTGTTGTACATTACAGTGATGAATACGTGGAGCCTCTCTACACACCCAGGGATCGTGCACCTGTTGAACTCCGAAGAGGTGGGTACATTTGAAATAGGCTATATCGAATCTGGACATATTTTAGTACAAGTATACATTCAGTGGAACTTCAGATCAGTGTGGTCATGGCTGAAAAACCCAAACCACATCTACCAATTCATGTGTGATAAGATGGCTATGAAAGAAGACATAGGTTTGATTCTCCACAATATGTGAAGGCCATTCTCGGTGTCCCTGCTGTCATTTTGCTGATAGTAGCCTAAAACTATACCCATGTGTGGTAAGAACTTACCATGTCTGCAGTGGGTTAATAGAATTTATTGGAACATTTCCTGTTGATCTTCGCAGATGGGACCAGCAAACCACCACAAGGTATAAACATGTATATCCTCTCGCACCTAACAATGTTGTAGTCTAGTTATATATCTAACGTTATCTCACTCTGGTTAACTCTCTCTACCTGTCAATATGCCACTTCATATTTAATCCACATTTGCCATGTTTTCTTGAGTATGGTGCACACTTATTACACTGTGTATGTTTGTCCATTGTAAAGTGTTTGCTTGTCACACCAAACACCCGGGTTCGATTCCCCACATGGGTACAATGTGTGAAGCCCATTTCTGGAGTCCCCCACCGTTATATTGCTGGAATATTGCTAATGGCGGTGTAAAACCAAACACACTCGTTCACAATATGAGAAAATACACACAGTGATCTTAATCTCTGACAATGCCTGGCAGAACAAGAAGTACAATTTGAATGGTAAGTCATCATGTCTAGTGATTTTATCTAAAATTTCACAATTTTATTTACAAAGATTATCACCTGTTCTTTCACCAGAAGGTGTATGGTGTAGATATTTACTCTGCATAGAACTTGAATTTGAACACACACAAAATATGGTATCAATTATACATGGGTGTGCACCATTGTCAAGAAAATATGCTATACCTTTCTATGTCCATTCTCTTCCCACAGAGGTTACTTGTCATATCTTCCTACGAACCTCTGTTCTAATACGGCCATATTTCCCGGTTCTCGTAAAATCCCCTAGCGGCAAAAGATCGCAACACGAATTATTTCCCTTCTTTCTATCCAATCAGAACACGTGTTACATCGACTTAGATTCAACTTGACTAACACAAGCAAATGTGAGGCCACAAATATCCCCCATCTGCCAGGGACTTGTGTTGATGTTACACACAAGACGTTTAATGGCTAGCTTGTCCGTTGTCAACGAGGGCGATGGAGACGCCACTGATCCGCCATAACATGACTGAGTTCTGTCTAGAAGAAACGTTTGCGCATCGCGCAGGGGAAGAGGTTTAGTTTTCTCGAAGTATACGGAAATTACCGAGGCCTTGCGAATGATCACTTTTGAAACAACGTCGCTGATTGCACAACTAAATCTGATTGCCTCCAATCACGAGTCTTGAACGCTCACACCATGAAAGGGCCGTATTAGAACAGAGGTTACGTAGGAAGATATGACAGGAGTAACCTCTGTGGGAAGAGAATGTTCTATGTCCTACAAGAATATTTTTGTTTGAATTACTTTTTTCTGTACAAAAGCTAAGCTCTGTTTTCCTTGTTTTCTGGATTCTTCCTCTTTTAGTTCAAGAATGATACTGAATCTGTAATGCAAGGAAAATATTGTATGGTCTGTCCTAACTTAATACCCAGGGCCTAGATTCTCGAAGCTCTCTTAGCGCTAAGATAGTCGTAAGTTAATGTTAATGTATGGCACTTACGACTATCTTAGCGATAAGAGAGCTTCAAAAATCAAGACCCTGATGTCTATCATTTAAGACTATACTAGCACAATTCACTATGCATGTTTTCTAACAAAGTATTACATTTTTTACTGTGATCAGATTATTTATTTAAAAAAGAAGAAGAAGAACTCTGAATTATTATTGATTTTATTCAAAACTAATACAGTGAATATTATTTTCCGAAACATTTGTCATTTACTAACTTAGTTCCCTATTAAGTTACCAATTCTGTTACGAAAAATCCCATTACTGATTACCTCATTGTATGAGTACAGCATATTATCAGATATTATTTCCCATGAAAATATGCATTTAATCATTGAATTAGATCATTTAATAGTTATCTGTTACAAATTGTATTCATATTTAAAACATATTTGTGGGGCAGTGGGGTAGCCTAGTGGTAAAAGCGTTGGCTCGTCACGCCGAAGACCCGGGTTCAAATCCCCACAAGGGTACAATGTGTGAAGCCCATTTCTAGTGTTCCCCGCCGTGATGTTGCTGAAATATTGCTAAAAGCGGCGTAAAACCAAACTCAGTCAGTCAGTAAAACATATTTGTTGGGTTTTTATATGAAGACACCTTGTGATATTATTTTTCTGAATTTCATTAATTATGTGTATCAGTGTTTTAACCTTTGTAATCTATACATTTTGTGTTTGTTTTATTTTATCCCATCTAAGGCCTGGTAAGTTTTGGTGTCAGTTATTGTTAATTACAATGTTTTCATCCAGATACAGTTCAACAAAATAGTGTAAAATAGCTAGTTCTTTGAGCATCCTTTTGCACATATATGTATAGAGTTACCTTATTATTGTAAGGTTGTAAGGCTGAGGAGCTGGTGGGGTAGCCTAGTGGTGAAAGCGTTCACTCATCATGCCAAAGACCTTGGTTAGATTCCCCACATGGGTACAATGTGTGAAGCCCCTTTCTGGTGTCCCCCGCCACGATATTGCTGGAATATTGCTAAAAGCGGAGTAAAACTAGAATCACTGACTCCCTCACCATAATCTTACATAGATTTGCCAGCATCATAGTGCTAAGATCTTTTAAAGGACAGGCCCAAGGTATAAGAATGAAATCATTATCACATCCATGGTTTGATATTCAGAATCAGTTATAGATTAGTCATAGTGTTAAGATTATGGAAACTCATGACTGTGTGCGTAACATGTGACCATAAATTTTCCAGCACCATTCTTCATCAAGCACCTGCCACCAAGGATCGACGTCATGGAGGGTGTGGATGTCCAGCTGGACTGCATCCTCCGTGGCGGCATTGACCTCGTACAGTACTCCGATGAAGGTGCAGACCAGGCCAAGAAAGATCTGGAAGAAGAGGGCTTTGTTGGAGGATTTGTTGACATGGGCAGACTCCCAGCCCCATCATCTCCCCAGGTCTCTGCTGAAACAGGAAGTCCTCCTGTGTTTGAGAAGAAACTGACCGATGTCCAAGCACCAGTTGACAGCCTTGTGAACCTTGTGGTCTCCGTGATTGATGACCCTGTGGCCGATATCACGTGGTTCAAGGACGGGAAGGAAATCAAACAAGGAGGTTTGTTGATTCTAGCTTCCTAGGTTCCTGGTTCAAATTCTGATCTGGCAAACAATCTCCATTGTTATCTGAGATTCTGGGGCACATTTCACAAAGCTATCGTAGTGCTACGACTGTCGTAAGTCTATGTTACAGTGTAGGAGGCACGACAGTCATAACCCTACGATAGCTTTCTGAAACTGGGCCCAGGGCCCTGTTCCTCAAAGCGATCGTAGCGCTAAGACGATCGTAACTCCCATACTTTAACAGAGACTTACGACTGTTGTAGCGCTACGATCGCTTTGAGGAACGGGGCCCAGGTCCATTTTTGGTTCTGTCGCTGTCATTTGTGCCCCAAATTGGTATATCTGAATGAAAGATATATGAATTAGATGAACAAATTTGAATCACATGCCAAGACCAATTTCATCAGTGAATGTGGTTCCCTTGTTCTAAATCTGCATACCGTTTTTTTTCCAGATGCTTTAATATGCTGACTTACTTTTTTATTCAGACAAATATGAAATTTTCTTCGATGCTGGATGCCACAACCTAGAAATCTACGACACCGAGGTCTCAGACAGCGGAGTGTACAAATGCGTTGCAGTCAATGCCCTTGGCTCCGCAGCTTGTCAATGCACAGTTACTATTCAAGGTATTTAAGATTCATCTCGTATCCCTTCCATTCCCAGGATCTTATGAACTAGGCTCTCACATCTCTTTCACATATATAAGTGTGTCTGGCTATGTAAGTGACCTTGTGGAAGGCCACAGCTATCCCATGATGCAGTGTGTCTACAGGAAGGTAGCCTGTGTACTATATACTCTCAGTAGATCTTTAGTGTGTGAACTATACATCAAATAGCTGATCTTTTGCTGAGTGGTAGATATGTCTGTTTCTATTCATGTGATATAATTTATGTTATCATTTGTAAGGGATATCATGGGAATTTATTTTAATGTAAACATTTGTCAAAGATAAAATGATTGAATATGAAAGATTAACTTTATTGTTATATTTCAATTAATTATTAATCCATATGTTGTTGAAATAATATATGTACATAACAGAAAAAGTCACACCTAATTGATGATAACTACATTTACAGCAATAATAATGAAACTACCTTTATAACGATAATAAAGACACTATATTTAAAACAATAATAATGAATGTAAGTATGTTAATAAAACTGTTTCTTTAACTTGGCTTAATCACTCATTTTCCTGATATCAATATTCTGTTTTCTGTATTGATGTCCATGCTTTGATATCCAGCCATTGCACAACTGCCCTTGTTTTGCTGTGACCCTGACCTTGCACAAAATTGACCCTTCTTTCCACAGATTCTGACGATGTCAAAGTTACAACGTCCCTTCCTGGTACGGCCTCCCAAACATTTCACTTGTTTTATTTTATTTATTTGAAATCCTGTTATTATTTCCTCCTTAACTATAATTAATTTAAAAATAATGTTGATATAATACTTTACCATCAATCCTTTTAATTCAATGACTAAATTTGACTAATAATGTTATTTATCCAAGAGAAATTAACATTGATCTGAACCAATAACAAATTATTGATGACTGTAATAATAATATTCCTTACACCGGCTTCTTAATGAATAACCCTATGACTGGTTCCATGTGCAATTGTCACTGAATGTCTACACCTGTGATCTATAGCTGATGATTCGGGGAAGGAGGCACCCAACTTCACAACGACCCCCAGTGACCTGACCCTCCCAGCTGGTAGCGAGGCTGTGTTTGAGTGCAGTGTCACTGGCAAACCCACCCCAGAGGTTGCATGGTAAGATATGGAAACTTTCAACATAGTTTAGTTTAAACTTTTGAGGTCAATTTTGTTACATTGAAAGATTAGTCTGTCTCACAGACCACATCCTGCAATGCTAAAACCCTAAATGAAGCAAGTCTAAGATGGGTTCCTTTTCAATATAAATGGGTTTATTTGTTACTATCAAAATTATATATATTCAGAGACTAAGTGTTAGTCTAAGTTGTGCAAGCATTGTTTGGGTTTTGGGTTTTGAGTTTTCCTAATGGTGCAGTTAGTAGAATTCTGGCAGTCTGATATAATACAGTGTGAACTAGATGGACCCGTGATGACTAACGGGATCCGATGGTCAGGCTCGCTGACTTGGTTGACACATGTCATCGTATCCCAATTGTGTAGATTGATGCTCATGCTGTTGATCACTGGATTGTCTGGACCAGACTCGATTATTTACAGACCGTGGCCATATAGCTGGAATATTGCTGAGTGTGGTGTTTAACTACAAACCAAAACTCTTAGAACACGAGTTGCTGGAGACCAATTCTAACTTGAATCCTTTTGTTTTATAGTATTGTTTTCACTCTATTTTCCCTTTCTGCCAAAAGGAATTTGTTCCTGAGGATAGTCAAAACGGGGTGCTCTTTTGCACTGACATTCTATATTTTCAATGGAGTAATTAGAAAGTTTTAAAGCCAGTAGGGTCCTGTTATTTATCAATTATCTTTGCAAAATGTAAACATTCACATTTATGAGTAAAGCTGCTTGCTTGCAGATGTGTATTTTTAGGTCCAGGAAAGACAGTTTGTGTTATGAAACTAAATTTATGCGAAAAGGCAAAACTATTTAAGATTGGTAAAACGCAAGTATGTGTTCTGATCAGGTTGAAGGATGGGAAACCTGTAACTCCCAATGACTGTCTGAGGATTGTTGCCAAGGGAAACAAGCACCAGTTGAGAATATCTGCCATCGTGAAGTCTGATGAAGGACAATATGTCGCCACAGCAACATCAGAGGCAGGCACCAAGTCTTGTGCTGCTAGACTCACCATACAAGGTGAGATCGATAAAACTTCCGTGAAGAAATAATATTATATTGTATGTTGTATACTAATAGGGAACTATTTAATGTTAAAACACAGTGTTAAACCATGCTCACTCAATCACAAATGACATAAATCTAGCTTAATGAGTGTGTAAAAAAATTGATTGGTACAAAAATTAATTGGTATTAATATGTCTCATTCACACAGAAGAATCTTTGTGTTAAAGTCTTAAATGATCCATTAATGTAATTTTCTCTGCTATTTTGCCTTTATTAGCCAATGGAATATGTTTTGCAGATTAATGAGATTATTCTCTGGTGCTGACGTTTTATATCAAATTCATGACAAATATTTTGTTAAAAAAATGACCAACAAGATTGTCCCTTGTGCCGTCACTGACCCATCACTTCCTGTTTGTCCCCAGTTCTGGCCACCAAGTTTGCTGCAGAGTTGCCAGCAGAAGTCTCTGCCTCGAAGGGGGAAAGTGCCACCCTGACCTGTAGCACACCCCCAGGGGTCAAGGACGTTCACTGGGAACTCAATGGCAAAAAGGTATGTACTCTCCAGTACTGACCATGACCCTTTTGAGGTGACTGACAATGGCTTTTAGTTTTGTTAATATTTGAATATTTGTCTTTGACCATATATTTATGTTCTTCAATGTCACAGTTTTCTTTGTTGTTTATACAATAAAAGAAGCGTGATGAAGCTCAGTTCACCTGGGACAGTGGGGTAACCTAGTGGTTAAAGTGTTTGCTCATCAAACGGGTTCAATTCCCCACATGGGTGCAATGTGAGAAGCCCATTTCTGGTGTCCCCTGCTGTGATATTGCTAAAAGTGGCATAAAACTACACTCACTCACTCACTCAGTCCACCCACAGTCTTCTGAAACCTGTATCAAACACTGATGAACACAAGCTGCAGTTTGAGGAAATTACTTTACATTTATCATCTTCAATATTGCACTTTTCTTTGTTAGTCACACAACATAACAATACCACAATGCTCTGTATACGTCAGTCCCTTGAAACTCAAACACTGATGAACACACACTGCAGCTATCCCTGCACCAGACAGTAGCTGAACGTGTGTGTGTGTTGTGTGATGGTGACACAAGACTGCATGATAAGTGTGTTATGTGCCTCTCACATGTATAGCAAGGCCCTCCCTGGGTAAACACAGGTATCCACAAACAGTGGGTACAATGCTCACACTATGCAGGCAGTAATGTGGTGCACTTCACAGCTAGGAACAGGGCTCAAGTAAGGTTAGTTGTACTGTCAGGCTAATTCATAATTCAGTGTCTTGATATTACTTTGTGTCTGCGTATTATTGTGACTCTCTGTTGCTGCTTCAGTTTGTAATACTTTAAATAGGACATATTTGAAGATGAAATGGCCAACACATGAATAAAATGTGTATCAGGGAAAAAAATGTTTTTGTTTACTTTTAACATGAAGAATGTATAGAGATGAGATTTATGTCATATTATCAATAATAATGTGCATTTACTTACATGATTTCTGTTGTAAATAAACATTAGTAGACTTACTTAGTCTATAAGCAATAATCATATGTTTCCATCATAATTTCTAGATTGTATAGATAATAAGAATTAGTTGTCCCTGTAAAAGACTGGAATTCTTAGACTGAATTGTCCTGTTATCTAAAGTTACCAAATATGAGGATAGAATTACTACACATTGATGAACTTACCATTCAATGCAGTCTTGAAGCAAGGTTATGGGGTGGGGTAGCCTAGTGGTTAAAGCATCATCTCGTCATGCTAAATACCCAGGTTCGATTCCCAACATGGCTACAATGTGTGAAAGCCATTTCTGGTGTCCCCTGCCGAGATATTGCTGGAATATTGCTAAAAGTGGCGTTAAACCATCCTCACTCACTCATACACTCACTCACTGACTGGAGCAAGGTTATTAAGTTACTTTATTTCATATTTACATTTATTGTTTGTATTTTGTCTTGCAAACGTAAGTGTTTGTAAATACAGCAAACTTAGCGATGTAAAAAATACATTTTCATTAATTTGTTACTTACTGTATGCCAAAAACTGTGGATCATAAATATTTTAGGAAATATTGTGTTTGTGCAGACTGAGCATACAATTTATGATGGATGTGGAAAAGGCTTTGTCGCTTCTATTCTATTGAAAATACACCCAGAATAGTCATGATCCTGACCTTTTTGTTTAGTATATATTGGATTCATGTCCTTGGATGATGGAGTCTCAATGTCTGTCACAAAGGTTGTTGTCCAGATAATATCACAAATCTTGTTTTCCAGAAAGTTTGTATTCATTCAAGCATTACAAATTGGCCAGGGAGATTTACTTGCTATTAAGTGTAGGGTTAAAAGGTTACTGCTAACTGATTTGGTGGTACGTTACTATTGTGCTTATGATCGTAAATGAATTCCAAACTGGCATTCCCCTTTGGCAGTGCAAAACATGTCACAAGTTCACAAATACGTCCCTGTTGTCGTCAGCTTTATGGTAGTCGTTACGGAGTAGGTTGGATATATATGTCCATAGTTGATTGGACACAGTGCAGTAGGGTATATCTACCTACAGATTCAGGTAGGTGTTTCTCTGGAATGGATATTGAGGTATGATAAACCATGGCTCTGGAAATGTGAAATTGTGATATAAAAGAAAATTTAAAATGTTGGTACGAAAGTTATCAGACATTTTTAAGGGGTAGGCAACCAACGGAAGTTGTAGTTGATAGGTCTGTTGCATCTATAAAGGTTGCATCTTTTATATGGCGTAGAAATTTGGGGATTACATACACTGGGGAAATTAGAAATGGTACATGTGTATGCTTGTAAAAAGTTGTTGGGTGTTAAACAAAATACTCCATATATCATGATCTACAGAGAATGTGGCAGGTTTCCTTTATATTCTTATTGTAAAGTAATTCGGTATTGGATAAAGTTATTACACATACCAACCTATCGCTTACCAAAAAATGTTATATTATGATGCTTTTATATGATAGAAATGGACACAAAAACTGGGTGACTGATATAAAACAATTATTATTTTCTACTGGATTTGGAGATATTTGGCATAACCAAGAAATTTGAACATATCCGGAATTCATCAAATCATTTACTCAAAGACTAAAAGATATGTATTTTCAAAACTGGCAAGAAAAATTATCTATTTCAAGCAAATGTGGCACCTACCTAATGTTTAAAAACAATATCCATACCAAATTCTATTTATCATGTTTAAATTTAAAATAAGTATAGAGTAAGTTTAACACGATTTCGATGCTCATCTCATGAACTTCTAATAGAGAAAGGTAGATATGTAAATATGAATAGAGAACATAGAACTTGTCAATTATGTAATACAAATGCAATTGAAGACAAGTATTATTTTCTTCTTGTATGCCCTAACTACAGTAGTCTTCAAAGCAAATATATAAGAGAAAAATATTATGTCCATACAATTTAGACTAGTTTTCACTACTGCTAAATAGTTCAAATCCTAAAGAAATTGAAAACCTGTCCATGTATTATTTCTACTCATTTGTACATAGAATGCATATTGTTCCTTGAACGTGTATAAAGCAAGTGTATATAGTGTACTATAGGCCTGAGGCCTTTTGAGTACCAGAATAAAGATTGATATAAAGGTTTGGTTAATCACCAGGAATGTTTTTGCCCAATAAGATATTTTTTCTGTTGCCATTTGGTATTAAGATTAATGAAAAATAATATTTCAGATACTGGGGATAGAATAGGTCCTAGCAACCCAAGCTGATCATTAGACATGACTTTGTGTATTAGGATCAGACTCAGTGATACAGTTGATGGTGTTGATTGTATCTCAAAACATTATCAGCGGATTGTCTGGTCCAGACTACCTGGAATATTGTGAGGGGGGTGCCCATTAAACAACAGCCAAACAAACAAAACTGTAAATAACAAAAACATGACATCAGTTGTATATCTGAGTTAGTAATAGAAAGATGATTATTATGAAACTATCAGCATTGTAATTGCTGTGTATATTGTTATATACTCAGTTAAGATTGTTTGATGTGAGTTGTGTGTTTGGTAGTGAGGTGGGTATTGATGACAGTCTAGTTATTAATTTCAACATGGCCTGTGTTATGGCCTTGACTTAAGCCAGTGAGATACTTCACATTGTAATCAGTCTTAGCCACTGCCAAAGAAAATGTTATGATAATAAAGTGATTGTCAGTTCTATGACATATATGACGTGAAATTGAGGGCGGTTTTGCTTATCTATGACAGTTAATGGATTACCTGTCTACATTTTCATTATCTCGTTAAAGGTAAACAAAAGCCACCAGGCTGTGATGACCTCTGAACCTGATGGGACTCAATCCCTTGAGTTGAAGAACCTGATCAAATCAAACTTTGGAACATACTCCTGTGTAGCCAAGATGGCTGACAAGACAACTCTCACCACAAAAACCAAGCTGGTGTTGGAAGGTGAGTCCTAGTTGTATTTCCTAATTTTTCTCATTTAACAATAAAACACTTGAGGAATGTTCATCATTATATTCTCACCCTTCCTTAATACTTATGGATTAACTTAATTTGGGTTGGGCTATTTGTTCAAAGTCACCTTCTGACACTATAAAATGGGTGTCTGTTGAGTCAGATAATGACTGTCCTGGATTGAAGTTTTATCTGGTTTTAAATGGCCTTCAAATTTAATTTCCTTAAAATATGAAAGCCAGTGTTAACTCTCCTGTAGGATATGTAGGTTATGCTGTGTGTTTTCTCTGTTAATGTGTGATAATATCATGTGAAATATAAGTCAATAGACATGATTCCTGAGTAATATTGAAATATGGTGTGATTTAACAAGGAAGATGTGATTGAACAAGGAAACAAAATATATCACTTGTAATTCAACATGTATGTGGATGTGTGGCTGCTATTTCAAGCCAACCAACCCTTGTATTTAAGCCATAATCTCAATGCCAGGCAGGGTAACAAAAAGTACCATCTTTTAATGCCTCTTGGTGTGCCACCAACAGAGGATTGAACCACAACCCTTCCTCTCACTGACACAATCCTCCAAAACCATGGGGGTGGTGGGGTAGCCTAGTGGTTAAAGCGTCCGCTCGTCATGCTGAAGACCCGTGTTCAATTCCCCACTTGAGTATGATGTGTGAAGCCCTTTTCTGGTGTCCCCCGCTGCGATATTGCTGGAATATTGCTAAAAGAGGCATAAAACCATACTCACTCACTCCAAAGGCATGTACGTGGTTGACATAATCTGGTCATATCTGGTTGTATATATCCAATAATCCTCAATGCCAGGGTAACAAAAAGTACCATCTTTTAATGCTTGGTGTGCCACCATCAGAGGATTGAACCACCATCCTTCCACCCTCTGACACTATTCTCCCAAACCATGTAGGTGGTTGATATAACCTGGTCTTACATGGTTGTATTTAACCCATAATCCTCAGTGCCAGGCAAGGTAACAAAAAGTACCATCTTTTAACACCTCTTGGTGTGCCACCATCAGAGGATTGAACCGCCATCCTTCACCTCTGACACTATCCTCCCAAACCATGTAGGTAGATGATATAACCTGTTAGAGAGACAGCTTAGACAAAACAAGACAGAGAACATGACACTAGCATTACAGATCAAGGAACAATTCAGTTTTTCTGCAAATGATTCTAAAGTTACTTTGAGATTTGCATGGCAGTTTTTCCACATGAGTAAACACTGATTATTAATTAACAATAATACTCAGGTGTGGCAAATGTAAACACCATCTTTACACATGATAGAACCAAGTGTGCGTTATTTCTTTGATGGATCTTGGTCTGGTGGACCTTTGGTATATCAGGGCCGAAATATCAAAGAGCAACATCACAATGCAGTTAAAAGTAAATCAGTTCTAGAATGACACACTTAAATATTCATAGCTTTTCTACAGTTACCTATTGCCATGGAAATGTCAGACAGTCTCTTAAAGTGATGACAGTAGAAAATATTATAAGACCTGATTTTTTTTGGTGTGAGAGCTCAGTGTAAATATGCCAGATAAAGATGGATTATCGACATAACGTTTATTTCTGCTCGTGGAATACTGATGGGGTCTTGTACTGACAGAGGTATTGACATCATAGTGAAGTAGAGACACATCCATAGCTTGTCTTCATTGTGGTCTGGAGAGAGGCAAAGATATCGGTCACTATTTCCATGTTTTGGAGGTGGGAGGCTTCGCTTTGTTGTGTGTGTTTTTTAAGATTTTCAAATGTTACAAATATTTTTGGTAGTTGATGTGCCATGATGATTGAACAGCTGATGTAATTGTTTTTAATTATTTTTTTGCAGAAGTTGTTGAAATGGAGGAAGAGTAAGTATTTTTTTAAACATTTTATTTGATAAATTTTAAAAATGACAATATATGTTGGGATAGCGTAGAGGATATATAAATTTTATCAGTACCTTTGTGTGTGGTAATGGTTTTTTTACTTATAGTTTAGAATCAGAATAATGTATACATTTATATTTTTATATATTTTTGAGTGAGTGAGTGAGTTAAAATTTAAAGTCACAATGGCAATATTTCAGCCATATCGTGACTAATATTTTTGAATGATTGCAATGTCTTTGTATCTGAATGTACGTATGTGGGAATGTGTAGACATGAACAAAATGATATTACTGATAATCATCCGAACAACAGCAGTCTAAGATGGTCTCTGTCAGGAGGCTAAACAAATGCATTGATGATTAGGCAGGCGGTGCATAGGCCAGTAGGTGGTTTAGTCACTTATTATGTAGAAGTTCTTGGTTTGATACCACAGGATCTCACTTTGAAGAAGGGTTTGCCATCTCTTCTGGAACATAGTTTCAACACGGCTAAATAGATTTCATAAACAGAGTCAGTTGGGTTGAATGAGCCTGGTGAATGAACCTGGTGAATGAACTCTTTGAATGAGTCTGCTGAATGAACATTGTAAAGTGAAGCTATTACATGAACCTTTTGAATGAATTCATCTAATGCAGTTGCTCAATAAACTCATTGGATGAACCAGTTGAATTAACCTGCAGAATGAATGTGTTGGATGAACCAATAGGATGAACCTGTTGGAAGAAAGTACAAGACCAACTGAATGAACCTGTTGAATGAATTTGCTGATTGAACCAGTAGAATTAACCTGTTGAATGAACCAGTAGAATGAACCTGTTGAATGTTTGTTGCAGCATGAGGAAACCCAAGTTTGTGAAGACCCTCATGGATGTGTCCTGTCATGATGGCGACATGGTAAACTTGGAGTGCCAAGTCCGTGGCGACCCCCGACCTCAGATCACATGGTACAGAGATGGCGAAGAAATACCCGACACTCAGGTAAGTTTTAAATTATGATAAATAGATGGGGTCTCATTGATTCTGTCTGAGAAGACATGGCAAGTCAGTATTGAATACAGCTTCGGTGAAACAAGACACTTCGACTTCAGAAACTTGTTGATGTGTAGGGTATATTATCCACGATTTGAAATATGCTTTAGCTTGTTATTGTTACACCAAAACTATATAGACCTATATTGTTTGAATGATCAGTTTGCAAAGTAGTTTCCTGTAGATACATATACTATTATTTATTTGATAGATGTTTATTTAATGTGTTATTCAATTTGTGAAATTATGTTCATTTAGTTTTATTATTCAATTTGTGAATAATTTCATGATTTTTAAAAAATATTTAAAAAACTGAGATTTAGTGAGCGGATTATTTTTCCCACTGGTGTTAACATCATAAAAAATCCTGCTCAAAACATCTTGTCAAATGACATTATTACAGAGTACATACTGAAACTGTTGTTATGATGTTATGGTTGTGTGTGGGACTGTATCTGTGATGACATTGTGAAGGACATCCATCAGCCTAGATGTGACCATGATGACAGTGATTGAGGGCGTGTCAATAGGACCGGTATTAATAGTACAAGTCTCGTAAACATCACATCAATTGACATCACAACTCCTTTATAGCAGAACGAAGTCAATAACACAATTAATTAAATGTTCAGGGCAGGGATGTATGGGTTAATATAATTGTTCAGGGCAGAGGTGTATGGGTTACCTCCCTGGAGCTGCTGTTCATGAGTGAAGTTTCAGGATTAATGTGTTACAATCTTTCATCCTCTGTTGTCAAAATATCATGTCTGTGTGGGTTTCACCAAACTGTCAACTTTTGACAGTTCCTCCAACAATGAGTTGATACACTCATCGAATACATCACCACCTACAGGGATTTAACAAACCTTGTTACTTTTAAGTCCTTTAAATCTGAACCTGTTATTCTGGGAAACCATTTTGCTTTTCAAAAACCTTATAACCTAGAACCTGTTACTCCAGGGATGATGATGATGATGATGATGATGATGAAACCCAGGTTTCTCAGAGAGAATTAGATTGCAGAATTAACCAACAACTAGAGGTTATTATGGCATCATTTATTTCAGGATTTCCAAATGAGCATGATCGGAACCACCTGTAAACTGTGTATTGTTGAAGTCTTCCCTGAAGATGAAGGCAAATATGTGTGCAAAGCCGTCAACAGTGCAGGGGAGGCAACTACATCATGCATAGTGTTCGTTGAAGGTAGGTTATCTCCCTTGGACCTCATGCTCATTCTTCCAGGAACTGGCTACTACATCATGCTATTACAGCTTGAATGCATTTCTTCAATCTATATATCTTGTCATATCTGTTTCAGGAATGTGTCTTTTACATCAAACTGATGGCAGTTTTGTACATAAGGGACCGTTCATATGTTATGGCTAGGGGTGGTGATGATGATTTTTAAGAGGGGTCACCCATTTTGTTCTGGGGAGGTAGGGGGGTCATCAATTTTGTACATAAAAATATTTTAAAATTAGGCTTAGAAACATTGGAAGGGGGAGGGGGTCATGATTTTGTACATGACATGCAGAGGGGGGTCACTTACTTTGTAAATACATTTTAGGGGGGTCAGTCACATTGTACATGCTTCTCCATAAAAATCATCATCACCCCCCCACCCCCAAGTCATAAATTATGAACGGTCCCTAAACACAATTATACATACATCCATTGCACACAGTCTTCAAAACTTTATATCGGATGTTTTATTTTTCTCTGATATTGTCAAAGTTGATCTGTTATGCATACATCTAACCACAGATATATATTTTATTAGATTATTTCTGGATTGTAACACTGAATGAAATTCTGTAGCTGAACACATCATGTGTCCAACATTACCTTCAACTGGGCTGAACATTTGTCAATGGAATCAGATCAGATTTCCTCCCACAACAAAGGTCTAGGAGTACCCCACTGCTATGGTTGATTACCTACTAACAGACGTGTAATTACACCCTTCCCTAACTCCCAGCTTCTACAGTGGCTTCATGGAGTCCGGCTTCAAGGGGTCCACCCCAGCTGTTGCATTCCTGTTCCGTTATTGTGTAATGTGTGTCTTTGTAGACACTGCTAATGACCCATGTCTTGAGGTCACCTTTGAACCATGCAAGGTCAATATCCTTGCCCTGAGGGGTAGAACAGACCCAAAATGCCCGTTTTCTTAGAAAGGAAATATAGTCCTGAGAATTAATACTGACTGTATAGTAGGTACATAAGGTTTTACTAGAAGCTGACATGGTGTGACATCATAGCCTGAAAGAGTAATCCATTGATCACTAGATTGCTGTCTCAAATGCAGTAAAATTCTCCAGACTGACATGATAGAACTAAGAGATAGTTGCCTTGGCTTAAAACACTCCCTGACTAAACTTTCTCAGTAATAATGGACGGATCCTTTGTATTTAAAGATCAGGTTCAAAGTTTGTCATAGAATATGTATATGATGAATCCATTGTAAACATGATCCTTGCTTTGATAATTATACAGTGGGCAGATTATACTGAACAGCAAAAGTTAGTTATCCTGAATATTTGGGGGTATGTTTTTTAAGTAAATAATGAGAATACAATATCATAAAAATATCCCCCTCCACCAAACAATGTGATGAACTGAACTTGGTTGGTTCCGTCTTACATTATATTTCAAACTGTCAATAACGTCAATAAGCCGGCAGTCTAGAATATCATTATTATGGTTCTTTATTAAGAAATACTTCTATACACTGAATATGAGTAAACCCATATAGGTTGAATGGTTAATTATAAAGTTTGTAAAAAAACTTGTCAGCGATGTTTGTATGATGTTCCTAAACAGTTGTTTGTTGGTGATGTCATGTCACATGTTGTTCATCCTTTGTTTCTTTTGATGCTGGTTATGTTGCCATGCCAACATGCTTTAATGTTGTTTAATATGTGAAGACACTCAAAGTTGTCACAGGATGGAGTATTTAAAACAATAAATTATGATCAAGAAAACAGTATTTCGATACAGCTTTTGTTAAGTCCTCTTCATTTGTGAATACATTATTTGGATAGATACGAAAATTTTGTCAACAACTGATAATCAAATGTCAACATTATCAGGATATGACTTTCAGACAATAAAAAAATGCAAAACTTCAGATGGCTTAGGAATTCTTTAAGCTCATCCCAAAAGCATTTTTGAGGCATTTCATCTGGTTAAAGTTAGCTGTACCAAACGTTTGGACTTTTGTGGGTCAATCCACAAGACAAATCCCTCCCTGTGCTGACTTTGTGTGTTACGCCATACCCATGTTGTTAACCCAATCTGACCACCTCCCCATTGTTTTCCAACTAGACATCAATGACATGTCCAACAACTCCGAGTCCAATGCCTCCTCGCTCAACCACGGTAAGATGCAGCCTCGCGACTTCTCGTATAGACCTCGCTTAACCACAGCCATAACCTCATGAAGCCGTATGTGTAACTGAAAAGTAACAAAAGCATCTAAAATTTCATTTGTCTTCTAGATATAATGTTACTTTTGTAAATCTGGTGTGGGGTATCATTCTTATGTCCTGAAATTTTGAGATGATAATGAAACAAATTGGCCAAAAGTTATTAAAAATTAATGTTAAAAATTTACTTTACTGAATACGTCTGCTTGGAAAGATATGGCTGTAGTTACTGCTTATATTCATGTAGCTCTTTGTGTAATCGTAGCCAGAGCTTTCATCCCTGACAATATGTGTTCCTGTTGACTTGACAGAGAGGCAATCATTTGTAAAATACATAACCAAGGTTGCATATATTGTTGGGATGAAATCACTGGCTCCAGCACAAGGGATAAGTACAGTAATGTCTTCTCCCTTGGAAGCTTATATTCAGCTTAATTCACCTGCCACAACTACAGTGCAGAGCTTCTGTGTAGCCCCGAGTCTGTTTTCTGAGTTGGTTCCCAGCAGAATTTAAACTGTCTGTAACATACTGTGCAGAATTACTCATCTTTAATGGGTAATTTGAACGTTGTGTCTGAATAAATATATCATCTATTTAGGCCAAACCATTTTTTATTTTGTGTATGGATTATGAAAGTAAAAATGTTTGTCATTTGGACAAAACACATTGTTCAAATGCAGGATACTGGGTTTAGATCAGTACTTGAACCAAAGTTAATTTTGGTCTGGGTTGGGTCTGTATAATATTTTAGATCTAAAATCTGACTTTCAGTGTTGATTTATTGTTAGAAAAATTATGTTTCAGTCATATTTAAATTCCTTTGATTATTTGTATTGTCAAAGGGTCTTTGGGTTAATAGCACTAAAAATACCTTCTTCTGACTTTGTTTCTGAATATTTAGTGGTTCCGTAAATCAAACAGTAAAAGTTGTAAGGCCTCATTGATGTGATTCCCCTGGTAGTAACTCTGAAGACAGACTCTGTAACCATGTTTGACCTTTGTGCTTATATTTTATCACTTCAATAGCATTTCTATATTTTCTCTAGACATTCTGTCACGCATACACACACAGTCTATAGCTAGTAGTCATAGTTTAGGGACATGGGGAAAAGCATGACGTTTATACAAAACACCAAGCACATTGTTTGTTTATATTTTATTTGAAATCAAAATAGAATATTTTGCATGAAAATTAGAAAATGAACAGGTATACTGGTGTCTTTTAGGAAACTGGTGATATACCATCTGATGCATGTTGTATAGTTATGTATTGATTAGTAATGAGTGTTTAGATACACCTGGTAATTGGTTTTGGAGTGCACAGATACACTCTGTGTTGAAATTATTTATGTATTATCTGATATACCCATCTGTGGTGGTACAGGAAGTGACTGTGATGTCATACGACATATTGCTTCATGCACATTTCAACAGCTGCTGTTGTTACATATTCTATATCTTTCTATATGCTATAAATATGGACATCTATTCCCTGATATGTGTTTGATTATAACGTTACTGGCATATTTGGACAAAAGACGTATCAGGGGATCGTTATGTAGGTCACAGGAGAATTTATGTGTACACGTTGTTTGAAATGAAAGTCCTTGTCGGAACTTTGATGTCAAGATTTAGGGGATCCGAAGATTTACAATAACTTCAACGACCCCCAAGTCCCACCTTAATTGTTGTATACATACATGTTATATATACATATGTATATCACATTTATATGTGGTATTTTATTTTATATCACTTGGAATAAGGTCTTAGTGGAACCTTGATAATCTGGACTTCCCGGAAGCACCACCCAGTTGAACTAATAGGCACTTCAGTTGTATTGAAGATAGGGGGTCCAATGTGATGGGGTCCCAGAAAACATGTTTCTGAGAAATGAGGTCCACTGTATTCCATTCAATGTTCTGTTACACCAGACTGATTTCTTTCAATGTTGTTGGCCTGGACTCTTTGTCATAAAAAGCTTCCTTATCTTAGTATCCCTATCAAAAGTCGAAAAGTTTCCATATTTATGTATTATTTATCAAAAGTTTAACAGGCCAATAGCTCTGTATCCTTAATGAAAGTTGAACAGGTCCATAACTGCATATCCTTAACAAAAGTTGAACAGGTCCATAACTGTTTATCCTTATCAAAAGTTGAACAGACTCATATCTTTGTATCCCCATCAAAAGACGATCCACATTTTGGTATCCCTATCAAAAGTTGAACAGTATCAGTGTCTTATTATCCTTCACTAATGTTGAGTAGTATGGACTATTATATCTGATGTCGGCTGATATGCAGGGAATTTCGACAGCCTGCAACGTATACCTTAATACAGGAGGATTTCCTGTGTGAGATGTGGAGGATGTCTAATCTGGTCATGAGTCATGTGCTGTCCTGTGCAACAAGTATTACAATTATATATCAAAGTGTGTTGTGAACAAACTTACGGAAAACAAATTTTCAATAGTTTGTTGTTTCTAAGAAGAGGAAAATTAGTCATTCAGCAACGTAATATTTTACAGTTGCTACACTTTGATATGATGTGAAGTCCTTGCAATTTAATTGTACTGATATTGAAGATTAATCTGTGTGATTAGGTTTTATTTACTTATAGATTCCAGTTTATTACAACTATGCTCAGCAGATTCTGTAATTTACTGCGTCCCCTACGATGTCTGAGTTTGGCTTAGATCATTGGTTTGAACACTGGATCACTCTAGTGTTGATTCTAGGTTTGTTAGTACCATAGCTTGGATGGTTTGTTTCACCTGGTGAACATGCAAGATGTACATCACTTCAGGATTTTCTCCCTCAAGCTGACATGTTGTGATATAACTGGAGTTGAACCCAACTGCCTCACTCACTCATTCTATTTCGGGGGTGGGGTAGCCTAGTGGTTAAAGTGTTCGCTCGTCACGCCGAAGACCCGGGTTAATTTTCCACATGGGTACATTGTGTGAAGCCCATTTCTGGTGTCCCTTGCTGTAATGTTGCTGGAATATTGCTGAAAGTGGTGTAAAACCAAACTCATACATCACCCATCCTATTGTGGTCATATTTATATTATATGTCAAGTCTCAAATCTACAAACTTTATAATGTGGTCATATTTATATTATATGTCAAGTCTCAAATCTACAAACTTTATAATTTGGTTATTTTAGAATTACAGTGCATTTTGTTGGATGCAAGGTGTATATCGCATGCTTCAATCTTGAGTAGAACAAGTGGGCATGAAATGACAGCATATAATTGTCCACTATTGGTGGTGGTTGTTGACAGTGACGGACAACTTAATGTTGGTTAAGTGAAGGATGATGTGGAAACCCGCACAGGATGGACAAACAATTGCTGGCTTTTACATCGGTTTGGAATGAGGAAATGGAAAACTCCATTGGGTAACAGCTGACCGATGGTTGTGGGAGTGGACTCGTCATCGTGACATCCATTGTTGTACTACAGCTGATGGGAACATGACCCATGGGTGTGTGATAATCATTGTTTCGGCATTTCCCCTTTGTCCATTAAATGTACAATCCCAGTTTTTGTATGTTTTTAAAGTGGTTTTGATTGTCAAGTTTCTTCTTTGATGTAGTGATGAAATTAATGAAATTACTTGATGCTCTGTGACAGAGTCCATCCTAGATTGTGTCGGCTGAATGAGTTAAGGGGATTATAACTAGAGTAACAATGACCATTATAGTACAATATGGAGGTCTGAAGCGTGAAACCAAATCTGTTCTTTGTTGTATGGCAAATGGCATAAAAGCCTATTATGAACATATGATATTGATTATTCTTGGTGATTGATAATACTGTGGTTATTCAAGGCTTGGAAACCAATGAAAAAATGTACTTCTTTTTCAAAACAATTGTCGTTCTGGTGGCTACATGTAAACGTGACCCTTATCCATTCTTTGCAGTATGGGGCGATGGGGTAGCCTGGTGGTTAAAGTGTTCGCTCGTCACGCTAAAGGCCTGGGTTCAATTCCCAACATGGGTACGATGTGTGAAGTCCATTTCTAGTGTCCCCCCCCAAGTGATGTTGCTGGAATGTTCCTAAAAGCGGCATAAAAACATACTCACTATTTGTAGTATGGCAAATATACTAAAAGCCTGTTTTGAAGTAACATATTATATTGACTATTCTTGGCAAGGTCATTGTGTCAAAACAAGGTAACCATGACCCGTCCCCTAAAGTGGGATGACCAAACATGTTGTTGTAACTTTAGCAACACCTTGTTTGGCCTGTTAAAAAGATGAAATAACATTTTCTAAGTGTTAATGTCAGAACTTGCACAAGCACACATGGCAATGAATCATTGACTATCAAATATCAACACTTGATATAATCACATTCTTGAGTTATTTTTATCTACCAGTAAGTATTCTACTTTACACCTTATAGTTTTATTTATTCAAGGCTTCGTAATCTCTGTTTTTTCTATACCCCTTCATTGATTTGTAGGCTACATGTAAACATGAACCTATGTCTAAACTAGTGTGTTTCAGTCTGGGCTGGCCAGCTGGGTCTTTCCATAGCATGTGGGGAAGGATTAACCTTTGTGACATATATTCTCTGAAAAAACTTCAACAATGAGTAATGCTTTAAGGCCTCACATTGTGCAGAACATGGTATTGACAATACATGTGGTGTGTGAGTTTTATGTTCATATCATAACATCAGTGTTGTGAGACTTCATGTCTGTATAAATCAGTCTGACTGTCACTCTATCAGATTATCGAGGCTCAAAAATATTTGTATATATATATATATAATTTGTCATGAATGAGAATGGAACAGCGAAATAATTTAATAGGGTACAACTTTTTTAAATGAATATTTCCTTGAGGTGGTTAATGCTGTGCTATGAGAATGACTCAGGTTTGATAAAGAAATGTGTCAGCCTTTTATCTCCACATTCCTTCTGTTGTCTCCGTTTCCTGGTCAGAATAAAACTAGATTCATTTGTTGCTAGGATAAAAATCACAAATGTGGAACTTTGAAATATTGTTTTATCAT